CAAACAAGTCTTTCAACTGACAAATGGTGGCTGGATTTTCTCCCATGTTGTGTGTTTCATAATATTTTATGTATGTACAGTAAAAGTTATGATAAACTGGTGAGGAGAATTTACTGTGCAAGCTTTTTTGGTACCACTTTACAATAAGGCTCCCCTTATAGATGGCTTATAAAACGTTTATAGATAGGTTATTAATTCATCTGTAAAGTTTACAGTTAATAAATCATTAATAAATGTTTATTATGCAATAATTAAGGACAAGAATAAGACAAAACTGTCCAGTTTCTTACCAAATAATGAGTCAAATCTGTTCACGTACATATTACATCTAAAGGTACTTGTTAAACATGTCATACTAGGTTACATTGTAAGAACAATAAGAAAGACATTTTAACACATTAATATTATTATACTGTATTACTGTATTATAAATATTCACAACTGTCAAAGAGAGACTTATCATAAAGTGTAAAAAAGTACACTATATATTAATGACAAACATTTCTAAATGCCAAAAGTTAGTCTTTAATGTGAAAAATCACCATTTTTAAAACTTAGTGTTGATTATTAATATTTGAAACTATTGTTCAAACATGTAACTGTCAATGATGTATCAAAAAAGTAAAAAAACCACCATGTATCACCATGTCATCCAAAATAGTGTGGAGTTTTACACTTTTTAATATTTGTGGATATTTATAATGCAGTAATACAGTACAATATTATATGTTAAGATATGTGTTTCCTAATCATTATTTTGCTTACAAGGTAGTAAACTAGTCTGAAATGTTTAATACCCAAACAGATTTGGCTCAGTATTTGGAAAGAAACCGGACAGTTTAGTTTCTTTTTTGTCCTTAATTAGTGCATAATAAACACTTATTAATTTATGAAGTGTTTACAGATGAATTAATAACCTATCTATAAACTCTTTAAAAGCCATCTGTAAGGGGAGCCTTATTGTAAAGTGGTACCCTTTTTTTAAAAACAAAAATTATATTACATTACAAGTGTTTGAACATGTATGACTGGTTAACTGTAAACACCTTACCAGAATTGGGGGTTTGTGTGAAAGGATGTTGAACAAAGACTTGGCCCCTACTGTGGCCCCTTGATGGCCCCTTACTCAGAAAAATCCTAGATCCGCCCCTGGTTCACAGGTAGTGACGACCTGTTGTCTCACTCAGAACTGTGCAAGTTGTGAAAGTCTGCCCCCAAGTGTCATAAACACGACACAAATTAACATATTTTAAAATCACTGCCTATCTGGTTCATATCCTGTTTTCTGTTAATTTTATTTAAACAAACAAATCAGCATTTTAAAAACCAAGTTCATCTTGTGTTCTAAAACTCACCTTACCGCTCTGTTTTCGTTTATATTTTATTTATTTCCGAGTGCACTTGAATGCAGCATGTTTTCATTTTTAAAATTCCCCTGGAAATTTTCACACAGACGTTTTTTAAAAAAAGGCAAAACACAGTCATTTAACAGAATTAATTAAATTTAAAATGATTAAAGTCAAMATTTTTCTCTCGCGTTTCACCAACGCGCGTTCCCCGTTTGCAGGATGCGCGTTCACGTGCCGCCCTTCAGACTGAAGCAAGTTGTTTGAAGCTTCAGGAATAATTTTTGGTCTGGTTTCCGCTTAAACGCGAACATTCATCGCTATTGTTGAAGGTAATGACCTTTTTTACACTTCTATCTTTATCAACAAAAAGTTTTGCCTTGTTTTTTTTTTTTGTGTGTGTGTAAGTTTCTGCCAAATTAAGGAAGTAGAAGCTGCTCAGCAAACCGTTAGTGTTAAAGCTGCTAAAGTGACCTACTTAAGATGATTGAAAGTAGGTTAAAATGGTTAATTTAGATTGGTAAAAGTAGAAGTATGGTATTTATTAAAACTTTGTATGCACATCACAGATGGTTTAACCATAAATATCTAACACAGCTGCACTTAACTATAAAATTAGCTTTGTTTTTTGTCAATAAATTGTTAACCTTAACTTGACTTTAATTATAGCATGTGTTTTATTATGTTTTTTTTAAACACAGATGGTTTTAGTGTCAAGGTTTTATGAAAGGAGTCTCCAAAGTCTGTTGAGTTTTGGTCAATCAGGTTTCATGCAAACATTAACTTCCTTGTTGGAACTTCAGTAAATTCTGGTTGGAACAAGTGGCTCTGTTTCTGTCATAAACAGCATTTGTTACGTCCACCGATGAGAACATGCAGGTTTTAATGTAAGTGTTGATTTGGTGTGTGTGTTTTATCATCCCCACCTCCAGATGTGGAAGTCAGTGGTGGGCCACAATGTGAACGTGAAGGTGGCAGCAGAGGGGGACGACTGGGAGACGGACCCCGACTTCGAGGTACCGAACACTTCCTGGATTAATCCCCGAATGAGAAAACCTGTCTTTATTTTGTGTCTTTTATTCGTTGTGTTTCAGAATGATGTGTCGGAGCAGGAGCAGAGGTGGGGAGCCAAAACCATCGAGGGCTCCGGACGCAAAGAACACATCAGGTGTGAAGATGAAGAGCTTTTTTAGGAGTTCAAATGAAACAGACAGGATGAAAATAAAAGCAGGTTTCAGTGATTGCTGTGCAGCAACAGGAAGAGGAAGTAAGAGAAGAACACACGCCGTCAGGCAGCGAGTTGTTCCTAATATGGGTAATAATGATGATGATGACATTTACGGAGATATTTAAACTGACCACATTCTCACAGAATAGTTATTAAGCTAGTTTTAGGTTTTTTTGAAACCCTATTCTATGAACATCTGATCATGTTTATGTTTCCTCTGAGTTAGACTTGCAGCTTAAAACTATAAAACTGAAAACTAGAGTGTGCGTATTTATCCACCTCATTTTGCCTTGAAGCCACATGGTTTGTCAAATAAGCTTTAAGTATCGAATTAGTTCAGTATAAAACTGAACGTTTTGGACCAGCAAGGACAACAGTGTCTGACACAAACCCACCATCCCTGTGGGGAAGCATGGTGATGGCAGCATCATGCTGTCTGTCACATTTGTAATTTTAGACACAGTGCACCACGACAGAATATAATAGCACTGAACGTGAAACTTAAACAACTATTGACTGCAATTGGTTTCAAATTTCAAATGGTTTATACCTACAGTAAATCCAAACTTAAAAAAAAATCAATCAATCAAAACTTTATTTATATAGAGCACTTAACACACAAAAAGGCAACCAAAGTAGGCTAGTGTACAACAGAATAAAAATAAAATAAGATTATTTAAACAAAAAATATAAATAAATGAATAAATATAACAATATCAATAATGTGCTCTCTGGAGTTAAAAGCCATTGATTTTATTTATTTATTTATTTATTTTCATTTAAACAAAGAATGCTTAGCTCCATCCATGTTTAAATATCCTTTAAATAAGTCCACAGATTCTCAATACACTGAACTCCAACGCACTTTAAAGGTAAATAAATCAGGATGTCATCTGCATAAAATAAAACRATAGCCATGTTTCCATCCAATTTCAATGCAAATTTTGAGTGAATTTTTAAAATGTTGAAAAAGGGGGAAAAGAGCAAATGCAAAACAAACGTGTTTCCATCAACTGGCTTGGAGCGAGTGAACCATGCTACGCAAAGTGTAATTATGTGAGACGATGCTACGCATGGCTGTAGTGACCAGAAAGTAAAGTCACAAACTCGCAGGGATACACATTTTTGAGGACTTATGAGGAACGTGTTGCTACTATCAGGAGGGTTGTAATTATTCTGTCATATCAACTAGTATTGACAATGTTTCATGCTGTCTGGAGACGTAGAGAAAAGAAATGCAAGAGGAGGGTTCAGCTGCAGCTGCAGCCGCTACAATTAYTGGAGAGTGAGAACAGCTGATCGAGGTAAATGTTTGSTACATCAGAACTTTTTCGGCAAATGTKTTTCCATCTCTCCTTTTGCACATTAACTCTTTTTCGGAAGATCCAAAAACAACTTCAAATGAGCGTATTAATTGTTTTGCAAATTTGGGGAAGTTTTTGCGAATTTWGCCGTTTCCATCTACCTTTTCYAATGCAATACTTCAAAATGCGCTGATGGAAACTCACCAATTGTATTTCTTGAAAAAGGAACCAAGTGGAAGCAAACAATGCGAAAATAAAATGAGGCCCAGTATGGAGCCTTGAGGTACCCCATGTTTAACAGTGGCCTCTGTAGAAGAAAGCCTTCCMATTTTGGCAGAAAATCTCAGATCAGACAAACAAGACTCAAACCGTTTAAGAGCCGTACCGTTCACGACAACGGACTGTTCAAACCGTCATAACAAAATTTCATGATTCGCTCTGTCGAAAGCTGTTTCAGACTGAAACTTCTCRTGAATGCTGTGCAGGTCCAAATGGTCCTGTAGCTGAAGACAAACCACTCTCTTTGAAACTGGCCCAAAATTTGTGAGGGCATCACATCATATGTTCAAATTAATCCACCGGTCAGTCTGCAAACTGGACAAAGCAGTWCAATTGTCCGTGTGTTTGATTCCTGCAGCGTTGCCGAGCTCAGAAGCAAGGTGGCTGTGGAGCACGAGCAGGTGAAGCAGAAGGAGCACACCCCCAAAGCTTCGTACGGCTACGGAGGAAAGTTCGGCGTGGAGAAAGACCGAATGGACAAGGTTGGCAGATTTGTTGTAGCAGAACTGAACCGCAGCGCCTCTCTTCACCCGCTGACGTTCTGCGGTGAATGTTCTGTTCTGTTGTGTTCCTGTGGTCCAGGTGGCGATGGGACACGACTATGTGGCGCAGGTGGAGCAGCACTCGTCCCAGAAAGACATGGCGAAAGGATTCGGGGGGAAATTTGGTGTTCAGAAAGACCGTGTTGATAAGGTAAGGACACAAACTTGAACGGTAAATTTAATTTAGTCAAACTTTACATTAATAATACATCAAATGTAGGATTTTGTTCAAAAACACCTAAATTTCTGTTTGTGTTCTCGCTGCAGTCTGCCATGGGCTTTGAATACAAGGGAGACGTCCAGCAGCACACCTCTCAGAAAGGTCAGTCCACTCTTCTTCACATATTAATGCATAATCTATCAGATATTTTCAGGGGTTCTTCTTTGTTGGTTTTAGATTACGCAAAGGGATTTGGGGGGAAGTACGGCGTGGAGAAGGAGAGGGTGGACAAGGCGGCTTTGGGTTACGACTATAAAGGCGAGACAGAGAAGCATCAGTCTCAAAAAGGTGAGTTTATGCCCTACCTGTTAGCAGCTCTTCTGCGAATGTATGAACTAATTCAGCATATATGTTGTATCGTCATCAGATTACGCAAAGGGGTTTGGAGGGAAGTACGGCGTAGAGAAGGAGAAGGTGGACAAAGCTGCTGTCGGCTAYGACTACAGAGGAGAAACAGAGAAGCATCAGTCACAGAAAGGTCATTTTTATCACTTCTAGCATTTTCCACAATATTTGATCMTTTATTTGACAAAACTTTGTCCGTCGCTTTTAGATTATTCTAAAGGATTCGGTGGAAAATACGGCGTTGAGAAGGAAAAAGTGGATAAATCTGCGCTGGGTTTTGAATATAAAGGCGAAACAGAGAAGCATCAGTCACAGAAAGGTAATCCCCAAAYAGCTTATAATCTGAAACAGTGGAGAGTTTGTTAATCATCAAACTGATGAAACGTTCTTGTGTTCAGATTACTCAGCAGGTTTYGGGGGTCGCTATGGAGTGCAGTCAGACCGTATGGATAAGGTCAGAATTATTGATTTAAATGTTTAATCTGAAATTAAAATGGTGTCATGAATGAATAAAGTTTCTAAAGTTACCCATTCTTATTAAAAACAAGTTCTTAACTGGAGGAATGGTTTGATTATAAAAACACGTTTTTCATTTTTACATTCTTTAGTTTCACATCTTCTACAATAATAAACAAAAGATAAAATCTGGAGATTTGAAACACTTGAAACAGGATTTTCATTTCTTTTTTTATGTTATTGTACTATTTTTCATGTGCTGCTTACTGTGGGGAAAATAAGTATTTAGTCAGTCACCAATTGTGCAAGTTCTCCCACTTAAAAAGATGAGAGAGGCCTGTAATTGACATCATAGGTAGACC